TGAGGTGATCATGTAGTTTTTTTCTTTGAATTTGTTTATATAGTGGATTACATTCATGTATTTTCATATATTGAACCAAACTTGCATCCCTGGGGTAAAGCCTACTTGATTGTGGTAAATGATGGTTTAGATGTGTTCTTGGATTCCGATTGCAAGAATTTTATTGAGTATTTCTGCATTGATATTTATAAGTGAGTTTGATCTGAAGTACTCTTTTTTGGTTGGGTCCTTGTGTGGTTTAGGTATCAGAGTAATTGTGGCTTCATAGAACAAGTTAGGTCGTGTTTCATCTGTTTCTATTTTATGGAATAGGTTAAGGAATATTGATATCAGGTCTTCTTTGAAGGTCTGGTAGAATTCTGCACTATAACCATCTGGCCCTGGGCTTTTTTTGTTGTTGTTGTTGGTTTTTAATAACTTCTTCTATATCCTTGTGCAATTTGTGCCTATTTAGATGGTTTGCCTCCTCTTGATTTAACTTTTGTATGTGGTATCTGTCTAGATAACCATCTATTTCATCTAGGTTTTCTAGTTCTGTTGAATATAGGCTTTTTTAGTAGGATCTGATTTTTTTTTGAATTTCCTCATTTTCTGTTGTTTTGTCTCCCTTTTCATTTCTGATTCTTTTAATTTAAATACTGCCTCTTGGCCTTTCAGTTAGTTTGGGTAGGGATTTATCTGTCTTGTTGATTCTGTCAAAGAACCAGCTTTTAGCTTTGTTGACTCTTTGTATTTTTATGCTTGTTTCTATTTGGTTGATTTTGGCCATGACCTGCCTACTCCTCTTGGGTGAGTTTGCTTCTTTTACTTCTAGAGCTCTCAGCTGTGGTAGTAAGTTGTTAGTCTTAAGACCTCTCCAGTTTCTTCGCCAGGGCACTTTGTACTTTGAATTTTCCTCTTAGCACTGCTTTCATTGTGTCCCATAAATTTGGGTATAATATTTCAAGATTTTCACTAATTCTTAAAAGTTTTTCTTTCTTTATTTCTACCTTGATCAATTTATCATTGAGTAGAGAGTTGTTCATTTTTCAAGTATATGTGGGCTTTCTGTTGTTTTTGATGTTATTGAAGACCAGCATTAGGCCATGGTGATCTGATAAGATGCATGGGATTATTTTAATCTTGTATCTTTTGCGGCCTGTTTTGAGACCAACTATAGGGTCGATTTTGGAGAAGTTACCTTGACATGCTAAGAAGGTGTATTTTTTGTTTTAGGGTGAAATGTTCTGTAGATATCTGTTAAATCCATCTGGTTTATAACCTCTATTAGTTTCATTGTGTCTCTGTTTAGTTTCTGTTTCAATGTCCTGTCCATGGTGAGAGTGGAGTCCTGAAGTCTCCCACTATTATTGTGTGGGCTTCAGTGTGTGTTTTGAACTGTACTAAAGTTTCTTTTATGAACGTAGGTACTATTGCATTTGGGGCATAGATATTCAGAATTGAGACTTTCTCTTGGTGGGTTTTCCCCTTGATGAATGTGAAGTGTCCTTCATCATCATGCTTGATATCTTTTGGTTGAAAGTCTATTTTCTTGGATATTAGGATGTCAACTCCAGCTTGTTTCCTGGAACCATTTGCTTGGAAGACCTTTTCCCATCCTTTTACTCTGAGATACTGTCTGGTTTTGTTCTTGAGATGTGTTTCTTGTATGCAACAAAATACTGGTTCTTGTTTGCATAACTAGTCTGTCAGTTTATGTCTTTTTATAGATGAGTTTAGTCTATTAATATTGAGAGATACTAAAGAAAGATGACTGTTTGTTTCTGATATGTTCATTTTTGATAAAGTCAGATTATGTAAACTTTTAAATTGGATTACCTTTTTGTTCTTAATTTTCTTTAGAACAGGTACTATTTTGTCTATTAATTTTGAAACAAAGAATATGTGGCATGCATTTTCTCTCCTTTAGAGTTTGTCTCTTTATTCCAGTGGATATTTTGTTTCTTGTACAGATGCCTCTTGGTTTTTTTTTTTTTTTAATGATCTCATTTATCCACATTGCTTCTGTTTTTTTGTACCTTTGAGGTCACAGACAAAAAATATTATGATTGCTGACATTGATATAGTGTATCCTCTATGTTCCATCTTAGTAGATAGAGTTTATGATACTAGTTTACATTTTAATCAACTGTGAGTTTACGTTTTCTACAGAGTGAAAGACAAGGGTGAATTTATTGTTTTTTTGCAAATAGACATTTATTTACTGAAAAACCTGTCTCTTCTTCAGTGTATAATTTTTGATCATTCATCAAAAATCAGCTTGCTATAGATGACTGAATCTACAGAGTTCTATCTTTGGTTTACTGTATTCTGTATTTTGTCTGGGTCATGCTTCTTTGTCTACTGAGGCTCTACAATGTTCTTGATATCAGGTATACTTACACTTCCAGCTGTGTTGTATTACAGTTTATTTCAGCTTATTGGTATATTATTTCTACATTAAAAATTTCAATATTATTTTTGAATAGTTCTTAAATTGTATCACTGGTGTTTTACTTAAGGTTGCATTGACTATTTAAATCAGATTTTGTTTTCCAGAGATAATCCTTTATATCATTTTTATTTATGATATTTTCTTTTCTGTGTGTTTCTACTTCAATTTCCTTAGTAGTGTTTTACAATTTTCACTATAGAAGTTCTTATTTCCAAGGTTAAACACATTTCTGGGCATTTTCTTGATAGCTGCTTTGATTGTGAGTGCTTTCATTTCTTTCTTTCTCAGCATGATCTATGCAAATGTTATCATGTTTTATAGTTTGATCTTATACATATCAAATTTTGTGCATTAAGGTATCAATTGTAATACTGTTTTATTATTGACTTTAAGTTTATCTGTACATGAAAGCATAGACTTTTAACAGTGACAATTGACCCTGTGCTTTGCTATTATGTACCTCTAATCTAATCCAAACATTGCACTATGGACTAAAATATAATTACAGGATTGTAAATAATGCAGAAACAAAATTAACAGCAATAACTAAAAATTCCATGAAAGAAATTGAATTAACAGTATTTGTCTCAATAAATAGTTTGGTAAATTAGCAGATATATAATGATAATTCATGAAATGGCTATGTCCATGTGTGGAATATTTAGTGCAATAATCTATAAATGCAATGCAATGATATCACATGGCATTTATAGTTTAAAGACTGAAAAATTCCCCATTTGAATCCAAGTAAACCACAATTATAGACAATTTAATAATTCATTATCTGTGTGAATATATATGTATAGTACAAGAATTATTTGCTACATGATATAAACAATGTATGCAACAATAAGTATCAGAATTCCTGTATTCCATTATGTACACAGATTTGTTTTCAGTTTCACAAAATTCTTTAGGTAACATAAAATATTTAATGCTGACCTTGGAATATACATAGAACATAGAAGAATAAATGCATTTTATATAATTTTTAGGTAATGTAAAACATAAAATTAAAGTGTATAGTTTAGGTAATATAAAGGCAAAAATGTTTCTCCTATGAATTAGTCTGTAGGCAGTAGAGTAGATTACTGATGGTTACCTAAATATAGGAAGTTAATACTTAGAATAAATAGGGAATTCTTAGGTAATCAAAACAAACCATAAGGAAATATAATTGAATAGCACACACAAACACACACATTGAACACCTAAATTATATGGAGAAATACACAGCTTGGTGTTTATTGGCATGTATGTAGATGTTCATATATGTTCATGTTCAAATGGAAATATGCACACCTACATGTGCTATCTAGCTGACTTTAAATGTGCTTCTTCAGGAGCTATCTTCTTTTATTTTATTTTTTGAAACACGCCAGCCTGGAACTTGTGTAGGCTAAACAAGCTTGCTAATAGGCCTCAGGACCATCGCTCGTCCCCATCTCTCAGCACTGATATTATGAGTGTGTACCTCTCTGTCTGGCATTTTAAAAATATGTGTTATGGGGGAAGAGTTCAGATCTTTGAGAAAAGCAAGCATTTTACCAACTGAGGCATCTCTCTATCCACCAAACTGCAGATTTATTTGAAACCATAGAAACATAAAACAAATACTACCTTGTGTTATGTCTGTATCAGAAAATTTAGAAGCCTACAAATGTTAGCAATGATGATCAAATATTTCTAACTGTGTGGTCTGTGCTATTGCTGTGTGACAAAACTCACTAGCCTAATATAAGACTGTCTTACTTATAAGTGCAAAATTTAGATGACCTTTATCCTCTTGAGCTTCACGTGAGGTGACTAAAGTGTTCACAGAGTGAAGGATGGAGTAGTGGTTTCCTTGCTCTCATATTAGCGTCACTAATGGCTAGGTTTCTGAATACTCAGATGTAGTCTGCTTGCAACTGAATCGACTTCCTATGCTTAGTGACTTAATAATGAAATAGTACACTTCTGCAAGGGCCTGTGAAACTTTGAATATCATTCTGATGAAGCTTAGAGTAAATTTTCTTCATTAGGAAACTGGGTTCTCTGATACTGAAGTGTTATTATAAAGCGATACAACCTGAAGAAAATTCTAAACCAAATTATGAAATAAATTACTCATAAACCTCGTATCTCAAAGTCCTCCCAAGGATACAGAATTCTAAAGCTAGTTTGCTACAGGAAGTCGAGAGTACAAGCATACAAATTTTCAATGTAATCATGTTTGTGATATTTGTGAGTTTAAAACGATATAAATATTTATTCCTATTGGAACCAAGAAATACAGTGAAATCACATGGTGCCAAATTAGACAGTACTCACCAGTTGAAAAAGTAAATGCTTAAATATGAATGTATTTATATAAGACTCAGAAATACATTCAACAAGCTACCCGATCCACAGGTAAAAGCTATATTTTCGGTAAAGAGAAACCAAACTACTAGTCTCGTATGGAATGTGTCTCCTTGGGAATTATATAGTTTTTCATCATTTCAATAATTAGATTTAGAGTATAGAAAGACAGCTCTGCATGTGATGAAGTAAAATCATTGTGATATGATCTGCTCTGTTTCAGTGTCTACTGAGGAACCCACTTCTGATGACCCAGATATTCTGCAAAGTCACAGAGTCTTTGACTTTTAAGACAACTTTACTTTTTTTGCCCGAATATTTACAAACTCGGTTTTTAATGGTACCTTCACGTTCCGTTAGCATCACAGGTAGATTTTTCTTCTTAGTGGGTTTATTTCAAAATTTTCACAAGGTGCATATTTAAGTGTGATATATACTTAAGAAATATGTCATGTAAGCAGAAGCCAGAAAGTATAGTGTACTTGAGTGTCATTTGTTAAAACTATGTAAAGAGGAACATTGTCAACACCACATAAATAATTTAATACGTAAAATTTCACACTGCTCTTTATAAAGCTCATTATCTTCCTGACACCTCATCTACATTCTTGCTCATATCCTCTCCCCTCCTGTTTAAGAAACAACTGTTCTCAAGCCAAAATCTATCCTTCTTTTAGCTGCTTTTATACTTTTCTTCTTTTACTCAGTGTACGAGTATTCTTCTTGTACTTCTTGAGTACTCTGTACTCAGTGTTTTTCTTAAATATGCACATTGACTACTGATTCTTCTATTACCTTCACCAGAAACTGTATGTTTCAGATTCAGATTGGTTTGAACTTAATGCATTGTAATTATGCTGTGCTATTTTTTTCTTAACTGCCAAAACTTAGTAGGAATTTATAATACTAATAAGCCCTTATAAAAAGATATGCAATCCAGGTATTTTATTTACAAGCCATATGCCTAGATTGGGCAGATCTAGGGCTAAAATAACTTATTCCCCACATGAGGAGAGCAACAATCCCAATCAACCAGAGCTCCCAGAGTCTAAACCACCAGCCTAGGAGCACATAGGGAGGGACCCATGGCTGTAGCTGTATATGTAGGGGAGGATGGCCTTGTAGGGCATAGGTGGGAGCAGAGATCCTTGGAACCAAGAAAGTTGGACACCGAGTGTGGGGGAATTCAAGGGTGGGGAGGTGGGAGTGGGGAGTAGATGGGGGCACATCCTCATAGAAGCAGGAGGAGGGGGGATGGGATAGGGGTTTCTGGGGTGGGAGGAAATGGGGTAAGGGAATAACATCTGAAATGTAAATAAAATATCCAATAAATTTTTTTTTTTAAAAAAGACTCTTGCTACTTGCTATTTCTCCTGGCCATGCAGTTCTGATCCATGACTGCTTCTTCCTCCTCTGTCTTCCTCTCCTCCCCCCTCTCTCTTTTCAATCCCTTCTTTCAAACATCTAGTCCCACCTTTCTCTACCCACTACCCAATATCAGCTTCTAGCCTTTTATTAAATTAAGGAGAAGGTTCACATGGCATTAATTGAGTACTTTAGGATCTGCTGATCAGAGGCAATCATATCTTCTGGAACCTGTTTAGGATTAGATAATAATAAAGTTCAGACCAACCTACTACACCAGAGAGAAACCACTGTTTATGTACATATAACTGTTCACCTATAATTATACTAAAAGATATAAAATTGTATTTAATCTTAATTCTAGTAAACAATGTCATAATGCCTATGTCTATGGTTATTCTTTTGTTCATAGTTGTAAAAGGTATTCTATGTTTTGACACTAAAGAGCATTTACTATTTTATAGACTATCATTCTTAAAAGTGTATTGAGAATTTGGATTTCTGAGAGATATTGTAAATGGAGTACTTAAAGGTTCTAGAATTAAACAAAAATTGACTAACATAATAGTTGATTTTGGGCTATAAAAGCCAAGCAGTCATGTTACAGTGGTTAATGTAAAGAGTTAAAGAATAAAAGAGTATTTACATTAATCTTTCTATAAACACAAGGTCAGGAAGATAAGAAAGAGTGAATATAAAGTATTTATATAATACATACAAAGCAAAACAAAACAAAAACTAAAGCCAAATATTAGTGAGTGCAGAAGCCTTGATCATTAGCAGATTATTGAGTAGACTTTTCTTTTCACCATTCATTTCCTATGTTAATATATTGATCTCTTCATGTGCTCTGATCCATCAGCCTCAAAATAAGAGATGTACTAACAATTGCATGTTCTACTCTGGCATATAAGGATGAATGTTGAGCCAGTTTTGGTATCTACAGCAGTGATGTAAACTTCTGTCCATCTACAAATGAGTCTATCAGTTTGAAGAGTTTCAGGGTTCTGTGCCAAAGCTTTGGTTTTTTCAAGCATCCTATAGTAAGTTAGTATTGCCTTTTGTCATTAGGCTGTGGTTCTAGGAGAGCTCCTCAGAAACCTCCTAAAGGAGACTTTCTCCATTATTTAGAGGGTTGGATCCATAAAATCACCAATTACAAGGGTCTGTAGCTCAAGTTATCTGACAGGTGACACCTCAAGATAGACTCCTAAAAGAAACTTAGTGATACCTTAAGGTAGATTTTTAGCAGAAAATACCCTCTCCCACTCCAGTATCTAAGAGCTGCCAATCACTCTATGGCTAGGGCATGGATTTTTTTGTCCAACTCATATTTCCATGTTAAAACACTGTCTCTTTGTGGTTAGCCACTGTGCTGACTTCTTACAATCTTTCTGATTCCTCTTCTGCAGTGATCCCCTGAGCCTTATGAATGGGGCCTGCTGTGCCTATGCTCGACACAGAACTGAGCATTCTTCAGTTTCTGTCTCTGGATCTTGACCATTGTGGACCAATGTGTTAGTCACAATCTACTGTAGATAGAAAATTCTTCAGTGATTGTTATGAGATGTATTAAACTGTGGTATAATAATAAAACATTAAAACTCAGTTTAATAGCATATCCATCCAGTTAAATAACGTAATAGTTTCTTCCATAGGGACTCTGATATGTTCAGCCACATGGGCACACCTTGCCGAGCATTATCTGGTTTTCAGGATTAACATCTGGGTGTACCTGATGATTACTTTTTCCTTCAGTAGCATGCATATCACCTTCTCTATTACAAAAGATAGTCAGTCAGCACCAGCTTGATTTCTCTATGTTTGATTGATCAAGTCTGTGATGTTTTCCACATCAGGAATGTTCTGCCTATACTGGAGAGTGTCCAAGAAAAATGACAATCTGATGTTTCTGGTGGTGGTGGTTTGAAGCCTCATTTCAGCAATTCTAAAAGACATAGCCCATTTTCCTGAGGCACAGTTCCCACAAAGTGATATGAAAAGGGGCTAGGTGACATTTGTACTCACAGTGAGTTGTAACAAGGAGAACTGAAATTCAAACTTTGTATAATGGACATGAGTCATGCTTGTCCTTTACTTCAAAGGAAAACATTCTTAACACTAGTCAACATTTTTGCATTACCATGTGGATCCCAGAGATTGGTGGCTTGCATCTTTACTTGTACTTTGATAGCACTAAAGTGGTATTCTTCTCTCTAGCTTGATTTAAGGTATTGGTAAAGATTTTAACTAATTTTGTTTGTTGAAATGTGTAAGATGCAGCCAAGACTGATTGTGAATTTGAATTTTGTCTGTATATGAAGCTGATTTACAGTCTTCCTCTCCTGGCTTTTAGGTGTGGCCTGTTTTACCCAGTTTTATTGGTTTTGATTCACCTTATCAAGCTTTTCATTTTTAATCTTTGTATTATGTTTACAGTCTCTATCGAGTTCTCCTTAATTTTAAATTAAATCGATCAACTTACTCTGTGGTGATTTGAATAGGAATAGCCCCTATAGGGTCATGTGTTTGAATGCTTAGCCCCTAGACGTGGCACTTTTAGGAGATTTGACCTTGATCAGAAGGCATGGCTTTGCTGGAGGAAGTGTGTCACTGATTGGCAGAGTTTGGGGTCTTAGAAGCACAAGTTAGGCCTATAGTCACTTTCATATCTGCTGCCTGAAGATTCAGATGTAGAACCCTCAGCTCCTTTTCCAGCACCTTGTCTGCCTGGGTGCTGCCATATTTCCTTCCTTGATCATAATGAACTCTGACACTATAAGCCATTTCCAGTTAAATATTTTCGTTTAAAAGAGGTTTCCATGGTCATGTTTTTTCTGCGCAGCACTAGAAACCCTAAGACACAGTCATACTGTTCATGTGTTATATGTTGCTGCTTTCCCCCATTTTTTTTCACATTGAGGTTTCCACATGAGTTCCCATGGACAACTCTTTACTTGTATAGGGTAGTCTTCATGACATGTTGAATTCTTCCGCCAGTGTGACATGGAATAATGAGCATCTTACATAAGGTTGTTTTTATTGTCAAAAGTACTCTCTAACACAAAATATGGGACTTTTGTTTGTGGTCACAATTATCCAACACAGATTACCATGTCAAGAACAGAGTATATCAGCATTTCTGGAAATCTTGAAAGAATGGGCAAACTCTGGCATTTCAAGCAGGCATCCTCAGTTGTAATATGCATGCTCAGTGGTGACCCCTACTGGCATGATAGCACTATTAGGAATTGCAGATCTCTAAAGATATTATGGTGGTTTTTAAATTTGTTCTGAAAGGTCTATGGAGTGACTGAAGGTATATTATCATGAAGATTAACATTTAGAATCATAAGTTTTACTGTGTGACACTGACACATCATCACCAGACTTATCATTCACATGCAGTCTGCCCTGCTGCAGCCTTGAATACAGTAGAACAGAGATGTAGGTGTGGTCTCCCCTATGTTATGTTTTCCTCTTGATTGCTACTGTGTTAATATTTATCCTGGAAATATAACCTCAGCCCCACCTCCCCATCCATACTGGTGAATAGATGGTATTATATACCTGCCCGTTTTCACTAAGTAAAAGTTCCCACTAGGTTCAAACTGGCCTGTGCTGTGATTTAAACTAAATTAATTCTTCAGTAAATTTAGCTCAGGGACACAACAGTTCATTATACACTGTTCCCTGGGGTTTATCCCCAGTTCATTTGGAACAGAGGAGAGAGAAAGGTAGAAATGATTTTTAAAATAATATAGAGAAATCAAAAAGGTAATTGAATGGCTGGATGTCACTCAATGAAGGAACCATTAGCCTAAGACACATAAAAATTCCCAGCAATTAAAAAAATATTAGAAAGATAAAAATAGAAATAAAATGAAGAGGGAAATATGAAAAGAAAAAAGAGAAGAGAGAAAACTCAATTAAAATGAAGACAAAGTTTGAAAAATAAAAGGAAACAAAATTGCAATATCAAAATGTAAATAGATGGAATGAAAAGTGAATGAAAACATTTTCTCTGCTAAGATCTTTATGGATGTTCTAGAGTTAAAATTCTCAATTAATACAATGAGAATAGTAGAAAGCATTTTCAGATTATTCTAACTCTCTGTTGTCAACAAACTAATGGGAGCAGAACCAGGATGTGCCTAACATCTCACATGGACTGTACTCTCCGGATTTGTTAAGTATGCCCTGCCTGTGGATATTGATGCTAGAGCCTGTCTAGTCACATAGGCATAGGAAGAATATAAGCTACTTGAGGTTTATCTTCACTTAGGGAGTGCTACTCTGGACAATGATTATGCAGACAGTGTTTACACTGCAAGATGTGGCACTGAAGGCTGCATCTTGCAGACAGGAAGCCTGAATATATACCAGGTCTGGAAGCTGAAAGCAAGCTAGCTTCAGAAAAGAAATGAACAGGAATCCTAGTGAAAAGTGCAGAAGTGCTACAGCGAGCTCACTGAACAGTAAACTTGGGCAGTCTATGGTCATGCTGAATGAGTACACATCTGCTCTGAAGATTTTTAGATTTATGCAACCTGAGGCACAGGAAGCATCCAAGACAGGAGGCATGCCTGGAACACCTCCCACAGTGTGTGTGTGAGCATAAACCTGTCAGTTTGTTGAGCCAGAGACACTCACCCAAGCTATAAATTTCTTATTGTCTGGGATGGCTGCTTACCCAGCTAATGGAATGAGGTGTTCATGAGAAATCTGAAATTCTTCTGAGAAGTCTGAGACCATGCCAGGATTTACAGTCTTGGGATGGCTGAGTCCCTGGCCAGAGAACCTCCCTTCAGGTACCTCTGTAACTGAGTTTTCACTGATCATTCTGTTCATTTCTTTTCTGAAGCTAGCTTGCTTTCAGCTTCCAGGCCTGGTATGTATTCAGGCTTCCTGTTTGCAGGATGCAGCCTTCAGTGCCACATCTTATCTTCCACTGCCACTGTCCTGCCTAGGAACAGGAAATCCACCTCCCTTTTAAACTTTTGCATTTGAGGAGCAAGAATATTTTCTCACCTTGCTTTGTCATTCTCCTGAGTCTGTGGAATGTGCTAGGTTTTATTTCCTGTGCAGATAACTTCCAGTTATTCCCACCCTTCTTTCCCTGACAAGTTGCAAGTATATTATTTTGTTTCCAGTCCATGGAAGAAAAAGCTATTCCTGAGTCTCCCTATAACACCACCTTAGACATGAACTTGTATTTTTATTTTATCAGTTTTGTGTGTTTCAGTACATTAACCACATTTCATTTGTTTGTCTTTCTCAAATATCATCTTTATTTCCTTCTTTTCCTTCATTTTCCCCATTTTTATGAAACATTTCATTTGTATTTATTTATTATGGCATAATTTAATCTTGTGTCTGTGTTGTTATTGGTACTTTGTTCTTTATCAATTATATTTATACACAGTGACCTACATTTGTAGCTGATTGTATTATATTAATGTGTAAGTTTACTATGTTCTACTTAGTTTTCTATTTCTCTTCTTTTGCTTTTGTGTAGCTCATATTCTTCTTGTGACTTCCTCTTTCTGAATACTTGTGCTTAAGTGGAAAAAAACCATACATTATTATGGGCTCTCGAGAGACTCAGATTGTTATAAAAATATTCATATTGATCATCTATGAGAGATCTCAGTGAGTTGGTTCATCCATTATTGTTCACGGGATGCTTGAAAAAGCCTATTATTTCCTTTAAGTCTCTAGAAACAGGCTATACATTTAAGTGGAACAGTAATAATTTCTCTCAGTAAGACACCTCTTAATTTCTATGTGGCCTGGACTATGCTTGTTTGTCTTAGGTACTCAGTGTTTAGGAGTAAATCAACAACATCTATACCAGAATCTGTAGACCTATACTAGCTCTATAACCATTCACAGGGTTGTATATTTTACAAAATCCAGAATTATTCAAATGCCATCTCTTCTAGAATTTTCTGTTTCCTGATTTGTTTTAAAACATGTGCTAGACTAGAGGGAATGATATCTCTATGTATTTTTTTGTAACTCTCAACAGATCATGTTTAACAGTTCTGTATTTTCCTTTTGCAGGTTCTCTATTATTTATAGGAAGTATCACTGGCCGTTTTATTGGAGGCTTTATTATTGACAGATTGGAAATGAATAATAAGAACAAATTGAAATTTATAGCGATATCTGCTGTTATATCAATTGTGCTTTTCCTATTAACATTTTTTGTGGAGTGTGAAACAGTAAAATTTGAAGGAATCAATGATGATTATCATAGGTAAATATACATTTGTAGACTACATACTTTAGTCATAACTGAAGGGATATTTTCTATACTAATAATTCAGTAACTATATATTTAAATAACTTCTGGCATTATTAATCATGCAAATGAAAAATCAAACAGGCTTTTACTGTTAATAACTCATAAAGATATATCTCATATAGACATATTTGTTTATCATGCTATTATTAGTGATGTATAATCAAAACTATAAATTTGTATTAGGATATGTAGAAAGTCACAGATTTTACTAGAATCTATGTAACATGGTTTCAACTGAGCATGCACACAGATCTTTGAGATTAACTATCCAAAATTCAAAGGGCTTTGGATAAGTTAATATTAAATATTGGACAACATAAATGTAACTGTAAATGAAAGGACTGAGTAAGTGAAATTATAAAAGAGAATAATAGCTCTTTCAACTATAATGCGGTTGCATATGACAAACCACTATTCAATAAATGCTACTGGAGATGACCATGAGGGTATAAAACATGATGTTAACTTCACTCCTTTTTTAAGTTTAGTTTTGTTTCACATATTCATTTTCTATCCTGCTCACTGTCCCCCACCCCCAGTCACTCCATCCCACAATCTTTCCCACATCCTGCTTTCCCTTCTCCTCTGACCAGGTTGGGACCTTCCCTTGGTATTCGTCCACTTCACATTTCAAGTCTCTGGAGGCTCCACTTCCACAGAGGCAAGACATGGCAGCCCAGCAAGAAGAATATATCCCATGTACTGGCAAAGGCATTTGGGGTAGCCGCTGTTCCAGTTGTTCAGTACCCACAAGAAGGCCAAGATACACATCTGCTACATATGTCCAGAGAAGCCTAAGTCCAGCCCGTGTACTTTCTTTGTTTGATCATTCAGATTTGGAGAAACCCAAGTGTCCACAGTAGTTGACTTTATTGGTCTTCCTACAGAGTTTCTATTCCCTTTAGTGCCCCAAATTCTTCCTCCTAATCTTCCATTAAGAGTCCCCAAGCTCTGCTGTCCACTGTTTGACTGTGATAGGCAAATATATGTTTGTAGAATATATACTTTAGTCATAATTAAAGAGATATTTTCTATATTAATAATTCAGTAACTATATATTTAAATAACTTTTAGAATTATTAATCATGCAAATGAAATATCAAATATGTTTTTACTTTTTACATTAAGGTTATATGTCTCATATAGATAAGTTTATCATGCATTTATTAGTTATTTATGATCAAAATTCTGTCTGATTCAGATGTTGGATGGAGCCTCTCAAAGGAAAACATGCTCCTGTCTCTAAATGTAACAGGGTATCATTAATAGTGTTAAGAATTGGTGCTAGACCCTGGAACGGGTCTTAAGTTGGGCCATTCCCTCAGTCTCTGCTCCATCCCCCATGCCTGTATTTCTTGTAGATAGGATAAAGTGTGGTTGAAAGTTTTCATGGTGGGTTGGTGCAATAGCTTCACTGGGGTTCCTGTTGGGCTACAGCAGGGGGCTTCTTCAGCTTCCATATCCCCAACATTGTGAGTCACTTCTAAGGTCACCCCATTGGTTCATGGGCACCTTCCTTATCCCAGGTATCTGCCTCATCCTGAACCTCCTCACCCCTGTCAGTTGCAGATTTCCATTCATTTTCATGGCCATCTAGCCATCTCTCCTGTCCTTCCCCACACCTGATCCTGAACGCCCCCCCCCCATGCCCTCCCTATTCCTTTTCAACCCAGTTCCGCCCCTCCATCTGCCTCTTATGGATCTTTTATTCCCCTTCTGAGTGAAATTCAAGTATCCTTGCCTGGGCCGTCCTTCCTGTTTAGCTTTATAAGGTCTGTTTGGCATGATACCTATCTTTTATGGCTAATATCCACTTATAAGTGAGTATAAATCATGCATGTCCTATTGGAACTGGATCACGTCACTCAGGATATTTTAAGTTTCTTCCATTTGCCTGCAAGATTCATGGCATCTTTAAAAAAAAAGTCTTCTTTTACTAATCATTTTATTCATTTACATTTTAAATGATATCCCCCTTCCCGGTTACTCTTCCACAAACCTCCCATTCTATGCCTCCTCCTCCCCCTCTCTTTTGCCTCTATGAGGGTGCCCTTCCACCCACCCACATACTCCTGATTCACTGCCCTAGTATCCCCCTGCACTGCGGCATCAAGTCTCCACAGGACCAAGGGTCTCCCCACACACTGATGTCAGATAAGGCCATACTCTGCTACATATATATCTGGAGCCATGGATCTCTCCATGGATACCATCTCTCATGATATCCATGGATATCATGGATGTCTTTGGTTGGTGGTTTAGTTCCTGGGAGCTCTGGGTGGTCCTGTTCGGTTGATATTATTGTTCCTATAGAGTTGCAATCCCCTTCAGTCCCTTTAGTCCTTTCCCTAGCTCTTCCTTTGGGGTCACAAGGCTCAGTCCAATGGTTGGCTGTGAGTTTCTGCATCTGTATTATTACGGTGCTATCAGAACCTTTCAGGGAACAGCCATACCAGGCTTCTGTTACCAAGTGCTTCTTGGCATCAGCAATAGTGTAGGGCTTTGTTTGCAGATGGAAGTGATCCCTAGGTAAGATGGTCTCTTGATGGCCTTTCCTTCAGTCTCTGTTCCATTTTTTTTGTCTTGGCCTTTCCTTTGGTCATGATCAATTCTGGATTAAAAACTTTGAGATGGGTAGTGTCCCCATCCCTCAAATGGGGGCTGTGCCTATCTACTGGAGGTGGTCTCCACAGGTTCTATGTCCTCTTTGTTGGGTATCTCAGCTAAAGTAATTATCATTGGGTCCTGAGAGCCTCTTGGTATCTTGGCATCTCAGGTTTTCTAGTGGCTACCCCTAGTTCCCCATCCACCACTGTTACATATTACAGTTCAAGTTCCTGACCCTCTGTCCTTCTCTCCTTTCCTGTCCCATACCTGATCCTGCACCCCTTATTTCCTCTTCCTCATCTCTCTCTCCTGGCACCTTCCCTCTCTCTACCTGCTGTGATTATTTTGTTCCCCTTTCTATATAGAATTCAAGCATCCATACTTTGATTTTCCTTCTTCTTAAGCATCATATGGTTTGTGGGTTGTATCGTGGGTATTCCAACCTTTTGAGCGAATATCCATTTAACAGTGAAAACATACCCTATGTGTTCTTTTGTGCCTGAATTACTTCACTCAGGATGAAATTTTATAGTTCTATCCATTTGGCTGTGAATTTCATGAAGTCATTGTTTTTAGTAGCTGAGTAGTACTTTATTGTGTAAGCGTGCCACATTTTCTGTATACATTCTTCTGTTGAGAAACATCTGGGTTGTTTTCAGCTGCTGGCCATTATAAATAAGGCTGCAATAAACATAGTGGACCATATGTTCTTGTTACATGTTGAAGCATCTTTTGGGTATATGCTCATCAGTTGTATAGATGGGTCTTCAAATAGAACTATTTCCAATTTTTCTGAGGAACCTCCAGACTGTTTGTTTTTAATAGTTGAAGAGTATTTGATTGTGTAGATGTACCACATTTTCTTTATCCATTCTTCATTTTAGGGACATTTAAGTTGTTTCCCACTTCTGGCTATTATAAATAATATTGTTATGAACATAGTTGAGGAAGTGACTTTGTGGGATGTTAGAACATCTTTTGAGTATAGCTCAGTCTTGGGGTCGAACTATTCCAAGTGTTTTGAAATCACCAACTTGATTTCTAAAGTGGTTGTACAAGTTTGCATTCCCAACAGTAATGAAGAAGTTTTCTTCTTGCTCTGGACTCTTGCCACCATGTACAATCTCTTGAGTTATTGATTTTAACCATTCCGAAGGGATTATGAGAGAACTTCAAAAGTTGTTTTAATATGCATTTTTCCTCATGAGTAAGGACTTTGAACATTTCTTTAAAGAAGAGTTTCTCAGTCATTCGAGATTTCTCTGTTGAGAATTCTTTAACTCTGCAGACCATTTTTTAAAAAACTAGATTATTTAGGTTATTGTTGTCTATAACTTCCTAAGTTCTTTGTAAATTGTAGATATTACACCTCTGTCAGGTGTAGGGTTGAAGATCCTTTCTCAGTCTGTAGGCTGCTGAAATGTCCTATTGATAATGTCCTGTCCTTACAGAATCTTTGCAGTTTCATGAGGTCCCATTTAACAACTGTTAATCATAGAGCCTGAGATATTTGTGTTTTGTTCAGGAAATTGTCTTTTATACTAATATGTTCAAGGGTACTTCCCACTTTCTCTTCTATGAGATTTACTGCATCTGTTTTTATGTTGAGGTCCTTTGAACCACTTGGAGTTGAATTTTGTACAGGATGACAAATATGGATCCATTTGTATTCTTCTACATGAAGACATTCAGTTAGAGCAGCACTATTGATTGAAGATGCTTTCATTGTTCCATTGTAGAGTTTGGGATTCTTTATCAAAAGTCATGTCTCTATCCATAGGTGTATGGGTTTATATCTGGGACTTCGATTGATTTGAATCCATTGGTCAACATGTTTGATTCTGTACCAATACTATGCAGTTTGTATCATTATTGCTCTGTAGTACAGCTTAAGGTCAGTGATGGCGATTCCTCTGGATGTTCTTTTATTGTTCATGAATTTTTTGGCTATTCTGGGTTTTTGTTTTTCCATATGAAGTTGAGAGTTTCTCTTTCATGTTCTATAAAAGATAGTGTTGAAATTTTGATGGGGATTGAATTGAATCTGAAGATTGCTTTTGGGAAGATGGCCATTTTCACTATGGTATTCTTACTTATCTATAAGTATGGGAGGTCATTCCATCTTCTGATATCTTCTTTCTTTCTTCAGGGACTTGAAGATTTTGTTATGCAGATCTTACACTTATTTGGTTAGAGTTACACTAAAATATTTTATATTATTTATGGCTGTTGTAAAAGGTATTATTTCCTTACTTTCTTTCTTGACCAGTTATCACTTGTATGGAGGCCTACAGAAGTCTTTGAGTCAAGCACTCTTTTAAAAAATATGCCACAGAATGTAAAGGACATTGGAAAACAATATGCAAAAAAGACTTGTTTCTGATCATATAAAAATATTTAATAGCGGTATGTTGCAGGAAATATTTTTAAAAATCAACCATTCTGCGCTATCGCCAGCAACTTTTGGGCTCCAGCAACCCTGCTGCCTCCATTGCTAGCCCTATGCACTGTCTGCCCATCTTGAGGTTTTCTTGCTGTGGATTCTGCTCACATTCCTAGCCATCTGCCCCGCCTTTGTCCACAGTCCCAAATCTTAGTACCCTGGTAAAATCAAAACTCTAGAGGCTAGTAATTTATAAGTCAGATTTATATCAGTAATTTCTCACCCCACAAAACACCAGCACAATGAACTCAGAGCCAATTGATATAAATTGCCTACCTATGTAAGACAAATTGTCCTATAATTATCCATCCCTTATAAGATATTCATAGCTACATGTGGCTATTTAAAGCCACATGGAATCTGGATCATCTTTCTCTTTCTCCCTCTTCCTTCCTTCTCTCTCTGTCCTCTCTCTCCTGTCTCTAAAAATCCCTGCCTGACTTCCTTTTCCACTGCCCAATCACAGGCTTCTTGTTGTGTTAATATTTAAGTTAACTGGGGAAATTGGGCTACAGTGGTATATTAGTATATAGAAAATAAATGGTATATCAGAAATGGACAAATAATTTGAAACAGAATTTTATCAAATAATAATTTTATAGACATAGAAAATATGCAGATAAAATTAATCCACTCTTTAGTCTCTAGCAAACTGTTTTAAATCAAGATGTGTAAATCAATGAAATCATACCATTATAAAGTAATGTGGAGAACAGTTGAAGCTCCTACAAACTGCCATGAGAAATTCAACCATGAACCGAGGGCATAGAAATGGACCTCAAAGAGTAAAATTGCTGTTCAGGTTGACCTTGTCAACCTGTATCAGACTCTGAGGAGTCTCATGCCATTTTGCCTGTTCTCACATTTTGTATCCAAACCACTCATGTAATAGCCTCTCCAACATTTGTTCACTGAACTCCAACCTCAAGTACATCACAAGTGTTACAATTCACTATATCCTTTCTACACTCTCAACTTTCTCTCAAGTTAGGTCAGTTACTGTTCTCAGTGCATCTCTGCACTGTTAATTTATACATGAGGTCAGTTAATGTAGAGCCTTAATCTTGCTGCTATGTTTTAGGTGTTACATTTCTCTCAAATTTTAATCAGATGTTGTTGTGGGTAGTATTTAAAACGGCAGCACCCAATCTAGCTTGTTCTTATGGGGCCACCAGGTTCCCGACTAGACAAGGCCAAGAGTGGTGGCGTGCTCTCGCCACTGGCTCAAGCAGGCCAGAAGCACCAGCCCTGCCACTCACAATATTCCATCGTGGTGGCTAGATCAGCCAATCCACAACACTGTCTCTACAAAGCTTGACTGATTCCCAGACAATATCTACCATCCACGTGGTACCTGGTAGAAATGAAACTCTAAACCTTAACTAATATTCAAAGGCTTTATATAGTTAGAAATGCTCAATTAACAATTTGCCTACACAATTAGAGTTGTTTCCCAATATCTAACCTTAAGATATAAATTGTTACCCAGGACTGTTCTGGACCCATGCGTGGTTCTCCATGGCTGTTACATCTCTCCTCTCTCTCCTCCTCCATTTTCCTCTTCCTTCTCTTTTGCTCCTCCCACATTAGCTACTCCCAAATTACCGAGCTTTATTGTAAAACGTAGCAGAGGTGGGGAGAATATCCTGCTACAAGTTGTCTCCAGAAAGCAACCTTAAGACCAGGTTCAAATCCTCAGTAGTGATAAGCAGATAAGATGATATCCAATTGATTTACCTCAAATATTTTAAAATTTGTTCTCTTAGTTTATCTACCACAAACGCTAAGTCCTAACTTAATCAATGATTTGAAGAGCAGGAGAACAGAAGTCCTCAAAAAATTTAATGAGGAGAACCTGAGGAAATTTAATCAGCATCAGCTTAAGTGTTTTACCTCTTAGTTGTAATTGTTCCTGTACTTGAAATTGGGTTCTTTTGATAATTTTTCTGCCATGAAGAGACTGATTCTTATGAAATCACCTTTGATATTGAATTATTCCTGCTTTGAGGAAAAAACAACAAGTGAAACATACCAAAACAAGGAACTAAGCTCATGTTGCAGGTCCTGGAGCTCCACCTGCCATTGCTTAGAATTCAGGTGTTGCTGCTCTGCAGTAATAGGCTCTGACAGGAAGGGCTGACAGGAGGCAGGCAGCAGGAGAGCTCTGAATTCTGGTCAGATGATGAGGTGGGTAAGCTCTGAATCTGTGTAGCTGGCCTGGAAGATTGGGGAGCTTTGGGTAACATTCTGCCTGCCTTGCCAAGGTATGTCTGACAGAATATTATCTCTGTCTCACTATCTTTCTGTCTCTCCCCCTGTCTCTGTCTCTGTCTCTCTCTCTCTCTTTCTCTCTCTCTCATGTATTTGAATTTAAAAAAAATACAATTGACAGGGATTTTTTTCTCTTTTATGAGCTATTTTCATATTCAGTATAGCTCTGAATGTTTTGGTATACTGAATCTTAAAAACTGTTTCAATAATTGTACAACATGATTTGTCATGAAGACTGAGAAGTTAGTACCATGTTAGTACCATTCTTCTAAGAGTCGAGACCCCTTTTCTGTGAGAGGTCCAAGTATCCTGAAACCTTAATATCAATTTAAAGACATTTTTCTTACATTCTCAGAGTGTCATTTGCTTCATGTTTTGGACAAATTGAGGGGGACATTGTAGGTATTATAGCAGGGATAAAAATGAAGTCCTAAGAAGTGAGAATGAAAACTTGGCTCAGGTTGATTTCAACCTGAATCAAACTCCAGGAAATCTAATGACAGCCAGTTTAATATCAGCATATTAAAACACAGTATTTTGGCAGGAAAGTTTTTTGGTGTAAAAAGTCCCCAGTGCACAAAGAAGTATAATTACATTGAAAATCAACTCAGGGTCTCTGTCATTTATCCCAAGAAGATGGGTTATAAAGATAGACTGCAAGTGCTAGCTTACAGATATAAGGAAGGATCTAGTGTAGTCATGGTTATATATATATACTGGAGAGATTATATAGGCTACTAGTCACCGTCACCTCTGGTCCTGATTGTGAGAGCTTTGGGGAGCTGATGGAGGTCCAGGCAACATAAGGATCATTTAGACTACCTTTAGTCCTGGCTGAGAGCTAATTACTGCCTACCCCAAAAGATAATATAGAACAAAGGGCTATTAATCACTTCCAATTTGCAGATTTCTTGATGAATGGAAAGGTAATTGTTGAATCCTTTGAGAGCAAAATCTGTGTGATTAACATTTCTGCTTTCCCTGGTGATCTGTGCTCACAAGAACTTTTGTGCTCCTAACAATAAACCACTTTGGAAAACTGACAGTTTTTTGAAAGTTTTTTTTTTTTAAGTAGCTAGAGAGGTGATTCAGTGTTTAAGTGCACTTGCTCTTTTGTCAGAGGCACAGGTTTGGTTTCTTATACCCACATGGATGATCATAACTGTATCATCTCTAGTCCAAATAGATCCAATACCTTTCTTTTGCTTCCCTGGGTGCTGCACTTACAAGGTACATATACATACATTTGAGCAAAGCACACATACATAAAATTATCCTAAAGTAGTTACATTAACAACTTTCATACTATATAAATATTCTACTTTTAGTACACATGACTCAATGAAAACATATGACCTTATAAGAACAAATAAAGGATATTCATACAAAAGAAGCAAGGAAAATATAAGTATTGTGTGATTGATTACCTTTTATAAAATCGCAACAGATAAACAGGAAGAGGGTACTATACATTAATAAATCTGTGAAAAATATTTAAAAATCTATATCACTTGTTTGTGTACCTTGATATACACATTAGTAGTTTAAATGATGGTGTTACAATTGTGTTTAATCTCAACTTCACAGCCTTGGTGTGCTTGGAAACCTCACAGCTCCGTGCAATGTGGACTGTGGCTGCACAACTTCTGACTATAACGCTGTATGTGGAAGAGATGAGACACAGTATTTCTCTCCCTGCTTTGCAGGGTGCGAAGCTACTAAAACCCTACAGAAGGAAAAGGTAGATTTCCTTATGCTTCTTCCTCTCCAGTAACATGCTCAGTTTGTGGATGATGAGATTTTACTCATAGCTCTCTAAAATTTTGCTTTGATATTTTCCTTAACTTTAATTTTAGCAACATTCAAAGAAAACCTAGTTTTTGTTTATCAAATTCTCTTTCAACAGCATTCATTGAATTTTGATCACACTCTTTCACAAGCCAAAGGGTTATGCACTTGTGAAGCACACCTGTGTGTGTATGAAAGTATTTGATACTCCAAAATCTAAGAAGAATTCAGTTAGAAGTTATGTAAATAGAGTACTGGTCAGAGGACGATGTCTGATGTCATTCATCAGGATCAGTCCACCTTGAGTTTTGAGGCAGTCTTTCACAGGTTTGGAGAACTCCCAAGTAGGCTAGAGTACCTGGCCCTAAGTCCCCAGGGAACCATACATTTCTACATCTGCAGCAGTGGGCTTACAAGCACACCACCATGCCAGGCATTTAATGTGGATGCCAGTGATCAAAACCAGGCTCCCTTTCTTAGCATCTCACTGACTGAATTATCTCTCCAGCCCTTGTGGGCATTTTTCAAAGCAGCTAACTATGTTTTCTTCAGTGTTTACCTTTTCATTGGAACAAAATATGTATCTAGGTACTAAAAATCTTATCTTTCTTTTTCTCTGTCTCCTGATACTTGTGAAGAAAAAAGAGCAATAAATAGTATATTTACTGATTTGTAGACATATTAACATGCTTAGTAGAATTTACATTTTAATATCATAACATGGTTTTTAACAAGTATTAGAATGAAAAAGATTTATGATATTTATTAAATTTATTCTAAAATGCTACATACTAATATATTATTTAAGTCTCTAAAATATGGGAGAAATGTAAATGTAATTTAAAAGCACTATTTGTTATTGTTGTTAATCACCTACCAAGTCTAACTCATTAATTAAATTTTATCATAAGTGTGATGGTTTGAACATAATTTGAATATGTTCCATTCAAATTTATGTATCAGAATACTGGTCCACAGTATGATGGAAATACAAGGTCATAGGATCCTTAAAATGTGAAGTCAGTTTGGAGGGCTGGGATAGTTTGTTGTTTTTTATTTATTTTGTTTGTTTTTCTTTTTTTAAAACTTTTTATTGTTTCTTTATGAGATTCACATCATGCACCCCAGGCCTACCTGTTGGCTCCTTGCTGGCAGGTCCAGGCAAGAGAGCAGTCCCGGTTCTGCCTGGTCTCTCCTGGACTGAGCGGGATGGTGAGTGTAGATGGCCGAAAAGAAACACACCAGGCCAAGAGTCTTGTCGAAGCAGGAACTCAATGCTCTTGCATCAGTCTCTTCCTTATATAAACTCGGAGCATAGGTGGGGGGTTTATGGTGGGTTGAGATGACATAGGAGGTAGGGAAGGGTGACAGGTTATGGGTTGACTGACAGGGCCAATGGCAGAGCTCTACATTAGCAATGGCAGGGCAGAGGAAAGGCAAAACAGGTCTTGGTGAGTCACCCCTATATGGAAGTGACTGAGAAACGTCTCAAAACTCAAGGTCGGCTTAGGCTTTCCCCCAAGGCCACAGAAACTCAAGCCAGTCTCAGGTTTGTCTACAAGGCCCAAACCAGGGCCGAAATGGGGCCCAACATCTACACATCTTCTTGTCCCCTGTAATCTGGCCTCTGCCCTTGCAGCCTCCACCCCCCAAAAATACAAAGCACACAAACAAAATAATAAACCAAACAAAGCATAGAAAACATCTCATTTCACAAGCTGTTGTTTGTCATAGTGTGTCTCACATTATAACCCTCTGTCCATCTTCTAGGCAAATATCCTTTGCAATGAGTCATTGTTCTGGGTCAAGGTCTCTGGCTTCTGTCACATTATCAAGATTGGATCCTCACTAGGACTCCTCCACACTATCTGTGTTGCCCTGTGTCATGTAAATCCTGCAGCTTTGGTACAGCAGGACTGGCCGTTTCACATAGTCCAATAGTTTATGCATGATATAGGTTTGAGGGCAGGCCAACACAAAGTTCTGGATTTGGGCCTATGTCATAGGTGAACTCTTCAGCCTGTCAGCTTTCCCTTATCCACACCACCAGGGCCAGCTCTCCAGTGCTGCTCCAAACTAGCCCAACCAATCCCAGCATTGGTAAGAGGCAAGGTCAGTTCTTCTCTACTCCTGCCCTCAGGGATGGCTCACCCATACCCACAGAGTCAACACCACTGTGTCAAGGCAGGGGGCTCACTCTCCGAAGTGCAGCAGCCAGTGGGAGGCTGGACCAGTTACCCTTGGTGCATGCTGACCACTACCTTTGCCATCAGGGCCAGAGCAACTCTATTGCCCTAGCAAGTTGCAGGGTGTGCTTTCCCAAGAACTACATACAGTGAGTGACTGGGCTGCTCTCATAATTTTGGACCAGCCCAACTGACTACTGCAGGTGTCTAGGGGTCAAGGGAGGAGAACATCATCCCTGCACACATGACCCCTCAGAGTAGACAAGTGGCCAGCCAGCTCACCTTAGCTCTGACCCTTGAAGTCACTATACCTGAGAGTCCACCACAAGGGCCAGTTGTTCACTGAGATGCTAAGCACAGGATCAATATAGAACTACTCTTCTATTTAGGAAATTTTGCTTAGGAACATTCAGTACAAGGAATTCTTTATGATTTTCTTATATTTTTATTAGGCATAATTAATTCTTAATGCATATCAAGTATAAAAAGATTCCACTTAATACTCACACAGTTAATGATAGCATTTGTTAGTTAAAAGTTGGAATTAAAATACGTGCAGTGAAGAGTATAGCTGCCAGGGTTTTATTAAAAGACAATTATCTGTGTTGGAAATAATAGCTCTGAAGCAAAACTGACAAAATCAAAAGAGTATGGTTATACAAATTTGTATGGATAGAACTGAAGAATAAACACAATCAGCACTACCTTGAAATACGAAAGAAATAAAACAACAAAATTATTTTGATAAAACTATGGAGAAGCAATACCTTTAGTAAGATTTTAAAAATATCTTGTCTTTATATTAATAATCTGAACATTGGGCCCCTTGAGTCCACATCTTATATTTTTCTTCATGACCTTGTGTCTTTAGCTGGTTCTTATATGTTTATGTTTTGATGTGGTATTATTTTCTTTCTACCTGAAGAATTTATCCATTATTTCTGAAATGTATTCACTAGGCATATGATGCTAGGTTGCATGTTCTTCACCTTGTCTCCCTGAGCAGTTGAAATACAGTTTTAGACATTCTGCACTATGACAATTACCCAAGAGAAACTATTTGAAAGAAGAAAGATTTGGTTTTGTGCCTGCTTTCACTTGTTAGTCCATTGTTGTCTGCTTGCATTAGTTAAGTCTGTGGAAGTTTGCTGATGTGGATCAGGGCTCCTCATCTTACTGAATTCAATAGTGAGTGGAGAAATGGTTGTATATGCCTGGGCTAGCTGACATCTTACACTTTTATTTCCTTTTAGCCACTTTGTATTAGGCATGATGCTCACATACAATTCCACAAATTAATGTCTGAAAATAACCGCATATATACACAGGGCAAACAGATAATCAAAATTCACTACCAGAGAGCTGTAGTATTTTGTCTCTCACAAACATTTAGAATATTTTCTTTGTTTGTACTTTCTGTAGTATCATAGACAGATTTTTCGTTTTATTCATTTTTTTTGTTTGGAATCACCATGTACTTTGTGTCTGGATCAATATCTATCATTTGTTACCCTATCTCTACCTATCAACTACCAATATACTTTTGAATTTGAATGACATTGTTTTCATCCCCCAATTCTAAGTTCAGAACCACAGACATAGCATGACTCAGTTGCAGACAGAAGTCTGGGTTCAGACCCAAGCTATGTTCTCTCTAGAAACTATGAGAAGGAATGACTTGTAAATGCTTCCAGTTTCTCTAAGCTTAAAATTAATAAAATCTGTATTTTTTTATTAGATTTCCTTAGAGGCAGTTTTAGCTTATATTAATTATTATTAAATTCTTTAAGAGACGAATCCCTTTCCCTTAAGGCCAGCAAAATAGAGTCTTAGGTTGCACGTGTTGAAAGAAAAATACCTGGTACAGTGTGAAGCTCACCTAGTCAGTTGAGGTTTAATCGAAGTAGTTTTTTCCCACAATACAAATGTAATATACTTTATAAGAGAACTAAAAGTCACAGATTCTTTTTCCTAGGTATTATGGGGTTATATATAACTGATGGAAGGAATCACCACAGTCATCTTGAATTACTTCATAGCACATAAGGGGAGGGGACAACTACACTGTGCTATAGTTTTAATATTTCCTATAGGTTGTCATCTCTTTACTTAAAAAAAAAAGATTCTTTTCTCACAAAATAAACCCCACCCAATTTCCTTCCCCTTCATTCCTCCCAGTTCCCCCTATTTCCCCTCTTTCCCAGATCCAGTTCCATTTTTTGCTCTTTAGAAAAGAGCAGACCTCTAAGAGACAACAGTCAAATAAGACAAAACAAGAAACAATAAGACAAGGCAAAAGCCCTCATATTGAGACTGGACAAGAGAACCAAAGAGGAGGAAAAAGAGTCCCTAGAGCACGGAAAAATTGTCAGAGATACATTCCTCCCACTATTATGAGTCCCATGAATACAAGCTTGTTAGGTCATATAATAACACAGAGGACCTGGTGGAGACCCATGCAGACACTCTGCTTGCCACTTCAGTCTCTTTGAACCCATGCGAGCCCTGCATGAATGATTCAGTGGTCCAAGTTCCTTTGGTATCTTCCATCCCCTCAGACTCCTGCAATTTAATCTCTCCCTCTACTGCAGTGTTTCTCTATATCCTACTGGAGAGACCTAATGAGTCCTCCAATATAGACTCTCTCCACTGCAGAATATCTGGCTGAGGTTCTCTGCATTATTCCTATCTACTGATGGTGGGGCCTCTCTGATGGCAACTAGACAAGGCAACAAACTATGAGTATAGAAGAATATCATTAGGAATT